GTGTGGTTGTTTGGGGGGGGGGGGGTTAAATTGTAAATCAGTGTGGTGAAATACACAAACAGAAGCTGAAGTATTGAGCAGGTCTGAGATCAGCTGTTTTCAGGGAGAGTCAGAATCATATAATTTAGTGATGTGACATGTGGCCAAGTATGGTGACCCATACTCGGAATTAGTGCTCTGCATTTATCCCATCCAAAGTGCACACACACAACAGTGAACACACACACACCGTGAACACACACCCGGAGCAGTGGGCAGCCATTTTTTGCTGCGGCGCCCGGGGAGCAGTTGGGGGTTCGGTGCCTTGCTCAAGGGCACCTCAGTCGTGGTATTGAAGGTGGGAGAGAGCGCTGTACATTCACTCCCCCCACCTACAATCCCTGCCGGTACGAGACTCGAACCCGCAACCTTTGGGTTACGAGTCCGACTCTCTAACCATTAGGCCACGACTTCCCCAAATGCGATAATGTGATAATTTAATCAAATAAAGAAACAGTCAGATGATCGTCTCTGTTGCAGTTTTAATCAAACAGCAGATGAAGTTGTTGGAGGGTCAGATCATCTCCAAAACCTGGAGTGGTCCAAAATGGTCCAAAACCTGTTCAGCTGGTTGTTCATTTTCCTCATGTTTTTGAGTGATCATATCTGTGCATGAGTATTGCAAAACTACCAGTTTTATTATGTTATTTGGTTTAACCACTGTGGCCATGTTTGTGTCATGAAGCACAACACATTTTATGTTATACGGATGTTCATGTAAATCTAAATATCTCTGGCTCTCATTTTGGACACATTTTTCTCACTGGATTGACACTGCCTGTGCTTTGTCTCATGAATCAGTGTGCGATTACTTTAAATAAGTGAAATTACAGCATTGTTTGGAAAAATCTTTGATGTCTTCTGTAACCATCTGGACAGTCTTTGGAAATCACAATCATTGTTCCTGTGGTGGTAACGAGACAGGTGCACTGTGGGAATAATATCTTCAAATACAAATAGGGCTGAATATTGAATGCTGTTTTTGGCTCTGTTTGTCCTGACATAATGTGTTTTAACTCAGATCACAGCAGCAAACACACAATTACATATTAAGTCACAAACAAACCATACACTCCCTCCTCAGAGAATCAGACATCAGGTTTTCATGTGGTCTGTCTCTCAGATACACAAGCAAACAGGGAGACTTCAGATGTGGTCAGTATTGTGTGTGCGATGAACCAATGTTTTGTTCCTCAAATAGATCAGGATCACCAGTCTAAATGTGTCCTCGGAATAAGAGAGAAACAGACTAATATTAGCGTAGATGCCATTCTTCTAACGATGTAGCAAGTACATCGGGTGTTATGGGAAGTGTTCCCGGTTCCGGTTGACCTAACACACACAAACACACAGACCTCAGAATCTATATTAGTGTGAGCACATCTCATAGTCGCAGTGGTTTCCATATTCATTTAAAGGGATAGTTCACCCAGAAATTTAAATTCTCTCATCATTTACTCATCTTTCTTCTGTTGAATGCAAAAGAAGATAATTTGAGAAATGTTTTTTTTGTCCATATAATGAAAGTCAGTGAGCTCCAATGTTTTTTTGGTTCACCAACATTATCCAAAATACTTTCTTTTGTGTTACACAGCAGTAATAAAGTAATACAGGTGTGGAATGAGGTGAGGGTGAGTAAATGTCGATCTGTCTCTTTTATTGATAAACTGAGTCTCATACAAATGATGGTGAAATTTAAAGCAGATTTAGGGACGTGGGGGTCAGGGGTCAAGGTTTAAGGTTAGGGTCACTGGTCAACATGATTGACTAGTTATGACATGTTGGCACTCACAGGTATAGACAAACACCCCACAGCCTTGGTTTGTGCTCATTTATGCAGCAACCTGATTATACATATACCAGTTTAATGACTCTGGATTGTCACAATATAAAAACAGGAAACGTACTTCCTACAAACTGAAAAAGGTTTCCTCCTGAAATACATATTCGCATGAAGCACGCATCATTCAGATACAGTAGTGCATTGTATTCTTCATTTATGTGCATCTATGTAACACGCCTGTAGCGCTGCTGCTGATCTGTCAATCATCGGTCGCTCAGCGGCGCGCGGACACACACAGCCGCTGGAGCACGGAGAATATCCCGGAAATATTATATTTCGCAGATCATTATCATTTTTCTCGGCTTGGCATGTTCCAGTCGATGTCGTATTTACTGTCGTGCGCGCTGAGGTGACTGACGCACCCCTCCTGTGAGAGATGGTTCAGCCTCCTTTGATCACGCGACAGCACCGGAGAATCTGAGGTGTTTTCACCGGATCGCGCTGAGAGCAGGCTGCAGCGGCGGCTCCGGGGGTCTGACGTCACTCGCTCTCCGCCGCTGAAGGCTGACAGAGGACGCGTGTTCCGCGGTGAAACATGACACAGACCGAGAGCGAGAGGCGGCGGCGCTTGTGTTTCTGACACGGTTTCAGCGGAATCACAATTCACCGGTCCTCAGCGATCCTCGATGCGTCTCTGCGCCAGCGGATTATCATTCATTTGTCTGATGCTTTCATGAACTGTCATCTGAGAAACAGCCGCAGGACTTGATTCTGAGCCGCAGCGTCTGATGGTGATTACGTTTCTCTTGTCTTTATGTGATCTTTAAATACATTAAACTGTTGTAATTTTGATTTTAAACGTATTGGATTTACATACATAAGAACAGAATCACTGTAAATGGTTGGAATACAAATCTTGTTCTATTTCTCTCTGACCCGAAGGTGAGCTGCGAGTGTCCAGAGCTGTCAGGATCCGGAGAGTAACGTTAAACCGGCCGCAGATGAAGGAGGCGTGTCGCATCTGCGCACGCGAGCTGCGCGGAAACCAGCGGCGATGGATCTTTCATCCGGCCGCCAAACTCAACCTGCAGGTGCTGCTGTCTCACGCGCTGCGCCGCAGTCTGCAGCGGGACGGACGCCGCGAGTTCATCTGCAGCAAGTGCTGCTTCATGCTGGACCGCATGTTCCGCTTCGACACGGTGATCGCGCGCGTGCAGGCGCTGTCCCTCGAGCGGCTGCGCAGACTCCTGCAGGAGAGAGAGCAGCTGCGCCAGTGCATCACTGCGCTTTATAACAAAAACAACGGGCTGGAGTCATCGGGGGCGACGGAGGCGGTGCACGGCGAGTACTGTGCGCTGCTGCAGGAGGACCTGATGTACTGCATGCAGGAGTCCTGGGCAGGAGACGAGGAGGAGGCGCTGGAGTGCTCCCACAATCCTCGGTGCAGCCGGCGCAGGTGCAGGGACTGCAGGGCGCTGCGTGTGCCCGACTCGCACTACGAGGCCGTGTGTAAGGTGCCCAGGAAGGTGGCAAGGAGCATCTCCTGTGGCCTGTCGTCGCGTTACCCGGCCAGCGGCGCTGACGAGCAGACCACGACCTCAAACACACTCCTGCCCGAGACGAGTCTGTCAGACAGTCAGCGCACACTCCGAGACTGCGAGAGCTGCGCCGTCTCGCTGCAATCGCTGGACAAGAGTCACAGAGCGCCTGAGGAGCGTCTCGCTGCATCTGAGGAGCGTCTCGGAGCGTCTGAGGAGCATCTCGCTGCATCTGAGGAGCGTCTCGCTGCATCTGAGGAGCGTCTCGCTGCATCTGAGGAGCGTCTCGCTGCATCTGAGGAGCGTCTCGCTGCATCTGAGGAGCGTCTCGCTGCATCTGAGGAGCATCTCGCTGCATCTGAGGAGCGTCTCGCTGCATCTGAGGAGCGTCTCGCTGCATCTGAGGAGCGTCTCGGTGTGTCTGAGGAGCGTCTCGGAGCGTCTGAGGAGCGTCTCGGAGCGTCTGAGGAGCGTCTCGCGTTCGCTCTGTCGCTGCTGCAGGACTGTGTGTACAGGCCCATCCGGACTCAAAGGGGCAGCAAGCTTCCTGTTTTGATGAATCCTGCTTTTTTTAATGAAAGAGATACATTGGACAGTCCAGACCAGGAGAACCTGTTTGACGGAGTGAACCACATGCTGGAGGAGCCAGAGCTGGATCTGGTGCTGGAGGAGCTGTGGGAGCAGGAGGAGTACCTGCCCTTCTGTCTCAGGAGCCACCCGAAGGTGAAGCGCTTTCTAATGGGACAGTAAGATCCGTGGATGCACTCAGATGACGCTCCCCACTAGTGCTGTCAAATATATATATATATATATATATATATATATATATATGCACACACTTACAGTATATATTTTGAAAATATTTACATGTATTTACATGTATATATTTATATTCATATTTGACCATGATCATGTTCCATAAAGATATTTTGTAAGTTTCCTATAGTGCATATATCAAAACTTAATTTTTGATTAGTAATATGCATTGCTAAGAACTTAATTTGAACAACTTTAAAGATGATTTTCTCAATATTTAGATTTTTTTGCTCCCTCAGATTCCAGATTTTCAAATAGTTGTATCTCGACCAAATATTGTCCTATCCTAACAAACCATACGTCAATGGAAAGCTTATTTATTCAGCTTTCAGATTGATTAGGGTTCAGATAGATTGATGATTAGCGTTAAATTGACCCTTATGGTCCAGGATCCCATATAATTTATATTATATATAAATAGATTTAATATAAAACATTTTATTTACATATATACATGCATGTGTGTGTATTTATATATACATAATGAATATACACAGTACACACACATATTATGTAAACCAAAACGTGTTTTGGAAGCAATTAATCGTGGTTAATCGTTAGACAGCACTACTCCCCGTGCGGTTTGTGCCGAGAACACTGTGTTTTGTGCGTGCAGTCATTTACAAACACTATTGTCCCGTTCTGTCTTTGTCATGTTTTGTACGATATTAAGTTGTTGTATTGAGTTGCTACTTGAATCCTGAAGTAAAAACAGTTGGAAAGCACCAAACTAAAAAACATCTGCAGTGTTTGAGGACATTCGGGTAAAGTTCAGACGTCTTTACTTACTGTATTTTGGGTCCAGCACATGATCTGCTTATAAACAAAAGCAAAACCAGCAGAAACCTCTTGATTCATTTTAAACCCTTAAAGCTTAAAGCTCAGACTGTTCCTGCTGGATATCAGTGCTATAAGAGCCGACGAATGAAGTCACTGTTAGAGCCGTACCATCATCACATCACTGATGTTTTGTTCTCACATCTCTCTCTTTTAAACTCGCGGAAGTCTCCAATGTTAACCCAATGATAACATGCCATTTTCAGTTAAATAGGTTAACATGGAGAGCGTGGCACCACCATTGACCTAGTTCTCTCTCAAAACCCTGAGGGAGCACACACACACACACACACACATGCTCTCTCAGACACACACGCACACATTCACACACACTCAGACACACACTCACACACACACTCACACTCACACACACACACACACATGCTCTCTCAGACACACACGCACACATTCACACACACTCAGACACACACTCACACACACACTCACACTCACACACACACACACACATGCTCTCTCAGACACACACACACACACACACACACATGCTCTCTTAGACAACAGACACACACACACACACACACACACAGAGCGACGTCTGACCTCAATGTTTCCCAGTTAAAGCACCTCAGATGCTTCAGAATAAACGCAGTGAGATTAAACTACAGTCCCGCGCCATGTAAACCAGATTAGGATCATTTACTAACAGCTTTCTCAAACATGGACCCTCAACACACTTTTAATTAAATTCTTCGACCAAAATTATTTTTATTTGATCAGTGTCTAATATCAGCTGATATTAAAACCAAATAAAATCAGGGCTCATTTTTCTCATTGCTTATACAATGAAATATGACTGTTTTCAATAGTATGCATCTGATATTAATTTTTCTGTTGAACATTAAAATTATTTGATGTTTGGTTTACTGTGTGTTGTAGAGTCTGATAGAAGAGCAGCAGCTGCATCAGTACGAGCACGCCGCTGGACAGTGTGTGAATGAACTGCAGCAAGCGCAGCTACAGCTCGAGTCTCTGCAGAACCAGATCCACCAGAGCGAGACCAGCAACAAGGTAACAGAGCTACATTACCCACAATACCCAACAACCAGCAGAATACTGTCTCCTTAGAGATCACATTATATGTGTGCGTATTTATTTATTTCTGCATTTATATCTGGCAGAGAGAAGTGTGAGGGTTGATCGGTGTGTGTTTGTTTCTTGTGACTCAGGTGCTGCAGGAGAAACTGTGTGAGATGGAGTCAGAGCTCCGGTCCATCAGACAATGACTCAGGTGCTGCAGGAGAAACGGTGTGAGATTGAGTCAGAGCTCCGGTCCATCAGACAAGCTGCTCAGAACCAAGAGAGAACCATCCAGAACCTCACAGACAACCTGAGAACTAAAGACACAGAGGTCATTACACACACATCACAAAAGAGACGTCTAGTGTATGTGAACAATGTGTTTCCTTCTCCTAAACCGTCATTAACTGAGTGATTCAGTCAAAAAGAAAGTTAAGGAGTCTCTTAAGATAAATTCTGAAAATATTCCTAAATGCAATTATTAAAAATGCATAAAAGTTCTAAAATAAATAAATAAAATATTTAAAAATATATTTTCTTAAGAACATTTGTGTTGGTGAAGTATTTGACAGGGCTAACATGTTATCTGAAATGTTTGCTAAAGATTCAACGTTGATCAACTCCATAAACTCAATAAAAAAATAAATAAAATAAAACATCTCAACAGCTTTTCGATTGAAGTTCAGGTTTGTAATGTGCTGTGTATTTAAAGTTGTTATTTGTAAAAATCCTGTCAGTAGACGGAGAGATCTGTTGTTTTTAGTTACTGTATCTGTGCTGTATGATTGGCTTGATTAAGAAGTATAAAGAAACGGGTTCCTTATCTGAGCAGATATTTTGAAGAATGTGGGTCACCAAACAGTTGCTGGTCCCATTGACTTCTATTGTATGGAAATAATGATAATTTTCATTTTTGTGTGAACTGTCCCTTTAATTATGATGATTTTTAAGAACATTCTTTTCAGGAATTCTTCATAAGTTTTAGCATTAGAACAATCTTAAGAAAAGATAAGAACATTCTTATGTAATGTTTTTTTTACTACAAAATATTCTAATAAATTTATTAAGTTACAAAATAAAAGTAAACTAGCAATTAAGAAGAATTTATTCTTTAGAATGTTTTGTGAATCCAGTCCTTGTTCATTCCAGTTCTCAGTCATTGTTTTCTTCTCTGTGTGTGTGTGTGTGTGTGTGTGTGTTTGTGCCCTCACCTGTGTGTGTGTGTGTGTTTGTTTCCCCACCTGTGTGTGTGTGTGTGTTTGTTTCCCCACCTGTGTGTGTGTGTGTGTTTGTTTCCCCACCTGTGTGTGTGTGTGTGTTTGTTTCCCCACCTGTGTGTGTGTGTGTGTTTGTTTCCCCACCTGTGTGTGTGTGTGTGTTTGTTTCCCCACCTGTGTGTGTGTGTGTGTTTGTGTGTATGTGTATGTGTGTGTGTGTGTGTGTGTAGACTCAGGAGCTGTACCGCGTGATTAAGGGCCAGAACAACACACTGCGTAAAATCACAGAGACCCACCAGCAGCAGCTGCAACACACACAGGTGAGTACACACACACACACACACACACAGGTGAGGACACACACACACACTCACATTGAAGCCGTGACGTTGGTGTTGCTAGCATCATGCTGCACTGTTTGCTCTGCAGCAGCTCCTGATGAATGTTTCCCTCTGTTTCTCTGTAGACTCCAGAGGGCGGCGTGGACTCGGGTTTGGTTCTGGGCTCCCAGAGTTCTCTGTTCTCGTGTCAGCTAGAGTTGGAGGCGAGTCAGCGCGCTCACAGACTGACTCAGAGACGTCTGGAGGATCTGACGCGAGAGCGAGAGCGACTGCAGAACGACTTCCAGGAGGCGCTGCAGCACAGAGACGTCAGCCACAAACACAACCAGGTGAGTCTGCTTTACCTGCACGCTGAACCCAGCTAATCTCACTGTGATGTGATAACAGGTGTTTTCCAGCACATCCAAGTACTGCAGATGTCACTGTCATTGGTTTGTTTGTTCCTGTTTCACTTCCCGTGGATGAGGCGCTGCTTTCATTTTGCCTCGATGTGAAACACTTATTGGTGATGTTTGTGAATGAAGCAAAATATGAACAGATATTAGTATTTCATTTTTTGTCATGTTTTTAGAAATCATGTCATGACTACATGACGGCCCTCAGTCCTGTAAATATAATGTGAACACGATCTGTAGACAGTCAGTGAGAGTTTTGGAGCAACACCAAAAATAGAAGATGAGACAATAGGAATGTTTTGGAAACCGTCATTGTTTCTGTGATTCTGAGTGTGTGTGTGTGTGTGTGTGTTACAGGAGCTGCGTGAGATGGTTGAGCAGCTGCGGTCTGAGCTGCAGGTCAAAGTGTGTGAGCTGAGAGATTGTGAAGCCTCGACTCGCTCAGAAATCACTGACCGGGACAAAAGCATGGCACAGCTCCAGCAGAGCTTATGCCGCAAAGACGTGCTGCTGCAGGTTACTCTCTCCTTCATACTGTAACGAAGACGGGACCTTTCTTGTGGTTTTTGTCAAACTTCAGCTGTGTTTTTCTTCCAGGAGTATGCAGAGCTGCAGAATGACTCGTGTGACTCCAGCGGCCGTGAGGACAGAGACGCACTGCTGCAGACGCTGAGGAGCCGCATCCGAGACAGAGACGCCGCGCTGGAGGTGTGTGATCCATCACATCTATTCTGTCCTGTCTGGGTCTTGTAGCCCCGCCCACAGTGAAATTCTATTGGTCCAAAATCTGAGTTAGGTAGCTCTAATTAAAATCAAATATGTTCTGATTGGCTGAGCCTTGAAATAACGGAAGCCTTCAGTTCAGTTCTGTCCTGGTCCTGGGGACCCATTGCTCTGCACATGTTGTGTGTGTCTTTTATTTGACACACCTGATTCAGATCATCAGCCATGAACTGAGCTGAGTGTGTCAGATAAGAGAGACATACAGAATGAACAGAGCTGCAGGATTGAAAACCACTGCGCTATTCACACTGTTAGTGCATCTGTGTAAATACTGGTGTCACGTGATAGTGATGTGATGAAACGTCTATCGGTGAGTGTTAAAGCTGAGTGTGTGTTTGTGCGTGATTCCTCAGATCGTGTGTGTGCTGCTGCTCAAGTGATTAGATGCACCACTTTCCTTTTCTTCTGGAAGTCTAGCTGAAATCTGGTGTTGTGTTTCAGCGCTCAATCGATGAGAAGTTCCGCTGTCTGGAGGAGAAGGACGGTGAGGTGCGTCGACTGCAGCTGGTGCTCCGCGAGAAAGACCGAGACCTGGAGAGACTGCGCTGCGTCCTCGACAACAACAACGACACCATCACGGTATGTGTCACGACCTGCGCTAATGCACACACTGTCTGCTTAAGTGTGTCTGAACTCTGAATTCTGTGTGTGCAGGGTTTGGATGCTCTGGTGCGCAGTAAGGATCTGGATCTGGAGAGAACACAGGAAAGCTGCCGGAAACTGGAGTGGATGAATCAGCAGAGCGATGAGAAACACACACTCGCTGTACGGGAGAGAGACGGCATCATTCATCAGCTGCAGACGGCGCTGCGCTCACACAGCAGAGAGAGCGAGGTAACACACAAGCTAGGCTAGTCTCAAGCACCCTACAGCGGTGCTTTCTGTCTGTTCAAAACATCTGATCACCTCATGAACACAAGCAGCAGGATCTCTGCTTGACTGCTGTTTACATTTCTGCATTCAGCAGACGCTTTTATCCAAAACTACTTGTGTTACATTCAGGGAATGTGCTTTTTCGGTCGCATTCAAACCCGCGCCGCCGCTGGCGTTATACTCTACTGGAACGCGCGTCTCGATCATAGCTTTGTATCTGTTTGAACCCTTGTTTCCCGGTGCACTGATATAAACGTGCACAGAAATGTCTGAAGGATGCGTAAAAGCAGCCAATCAGATTAGAGCTTGTAATTTCTGAGAGGGATACGCATCAGACGGTTAACGCTACACACACTGACACACACACCAAACACACCAAACACACTTTAAACACACACGGCCGCTCGTGACAGGTGTGTGTGTGTGTGTGTGTGTGACTGACCGTCAGTCTGTTGCTCTGTGTTTGCAGGAGCTCAGGTCAGTGCTGCTGGGAGAAGTGTCCGCCACTGACGTGCTCCAGGAGCTCCAGTCCCATCTGTCCGTGAAGGAGCATCTGTTTCAGGAAGTGATGTCAGACCGCAGCCGGCAGGCGCAGGAACACCACAGACAGCTGACGGAGCTGCTCCACACCATCAGCTCCAGAGATCAGGACATGAAGGTGCAGCTGATCGTCAGGAACACACTTCATAACTGTCTGCTGGCTGGTTTCTTTATCATGTTTGACGTGTTCTGGTCTCTCAGGATTACGGCCAATGGTTGGGCCGGGTGATTTCCGAGCGATCGGGTCAGTTGCAGGAGTTGCGCCGACAGCTAGCGTCACGAGAACAGGAGCTGAATGACGTGAACAGGCAGCGAGAGAAAGATGTTTCTGCGTCCAGAGAGCTGCAGAGACTTCAGGATGTTCTCAAGGAGAAAGACACCTTTATACAGGTCAAACACACACACACACTCAAGGGAACCTCATGAAGGACGTGCCTTTATAGCTGTTCGGTGAAAGAGAATCAGACTAAATAAAAACAAACTGACATTTTTCTCATTTAAAATTTCCTTTTTCTCATTTAAAATTTCAATTTGCAATTTCAAGTTTTCCTTTGACTTTGGAGTGTTACAAGCTGTTTGTGCATATATAAGATCCGTAAAGTTGCAAAGACTAAAGTCTCAAACTAGGGTTGCTGCCATAGATGGTGTTGACGGTTTTACCGGTGTGAAGCCACAACACCGGTTATGTCACTTGTCCACTGCGGCACCGCCCCTCCGTCATTTAGATTTTTTATAGTAATAAAAATCATTTAGTTCAGTTAGAGCACTACAATTAAAACTGAACGTGGCTGCTCAGTGCAGCATGCCGAACAACAGTCGCATCACAGATCAGATTTCATTTATCATGTGAGGAGAAGCTGACAAGAATAGTGAGGTGAGACAGACGAGACGAGATGATGGCAGAAGAGTTTCAAAAAGACATGCAAAAGCACCTGTTTTAAACATATTTTGGATTTTGAAAAGCCTGTTGTCTTTTGCCATTTATCTAAGGTTTTATTGGAAGTTTTTTTAAACATTTGTTTCTTATTTATTTGATTCCACAGTGTTTGCTTATTTTTATTTATTTAAACTGTGTTATTATTATTATTTTTTTTTTTTACACTGTGCACAAGACGATGGCAGAAGATTGTTTAGAAAGGAAATGCAAAGGCGCCTGTTTTATATTTTATATTTTGAAAAGCCTATTGACTGGAAGTTTATTTAAACATTTGTTTCTTATTTATTTGATTCCACAGTGTTTGCTGATTTTTATTTATTTAAACTGTGTTATTATTATTATTTTTTTTTTTTACACTGTGCGTCAGTGTACTGCGGTAATGATGGGCTGGGTGTCAGTGTACCGTGGTAATGATGGGCTGGGCGGCAGTGTACCGCGGTAATGATGGGCTGGGCGTCAGTGTACCGTAGTAATGATGGGCTGGGCGTCAGTGTACCGTGGTAATGATGGACTGAGCGTCAGTGTACCGTGGTAATGATGGGCTGGGTGTCAGTGTACCGTGGTAATGATGGGCTGGGCGTCAGTGTACCGCGGTAATGATGGGCTGTGCGTCAGTGTACCGTGGTAATGATGGGCTGTGTGTGTGCAGGAGTTACTGCGGGGTCCGAGTGAGATGTTGAACTCCACACCAGCACCAGCTCAGGGTGAGTTTCACTGCGGTACCTCCCACATTTGATCAATTAAAATGATTGATTCACTTCATTCTGTGTGTGTGTGTGTTTATGGTGAGCAGCCGTGTGTACGAGCAGCTCAGGTGATCTGGATGTACAAGCCATCAGAGATGAACTACAGCTGACCCTAAAGAAAGACAGAGAGACTGAGGTAAAACACACACACATATCATTTACATCATGTACACACATGTAGATCATGTAATTTTTACCTAGTTTTCACTTCTCTGTCTGTGTGTGTGTGTGTGTTTAGCGGGAGCTCTCAGAGATGCGCTCGGTTCTGGCTGCAGGGCGTTACGACACATCAAGCTCTGATCAGCAGGTAACATCATGAGACAGCATGTGTGTGTGTGTGTGTGTGTGTGCATGTGTGTACTTACGTTCTGTATGTGTGTGAGTGTGTGTGAGTGTGTGTGAGTGCGTGTGTGTGTACTTACGTTTTGTGTGTGTGTGTACTTGTGTTCTCTCTCTCTGTGTGTGTGTATGTACTTACGTTCTCTGTGTGTGTGTGTGTGTGTGTGTCAGTGTGTCCTGCAGCAGCTCGTGTCGGAGCAGCAGGCGCTGAATGAAGCTCTGAGAGCAGAGAAGAGTGTTTATGAGAAGCTCAGACGTGTCCAGAGTCAGGACGACAGGTCAGAACTCCAGCACACACTCACACTGTGCTCTGTGTTAAAATCCATCACTCATGATGCTGATCTGTTTATGAATGTGTTCTTGAAACTGTGCCATTTTTGAGTAGTTCAGGAAAATTCACTCACTGTCGTGACTCTCCAGATCTGTTTCTTCTGTGGATCTTAAAGGATCTGCTGTAGATTTTTATGTATTTGTGCTTCTGCACAAGTATAGGCGGACCTAAGCATAATGGAATATTTGAAGGATTAAATATGATACATGTCCGGTTGAAACCGAAGTTTTTAAGTGCATGTAAATGCACCCAATAGCAAAGGTCTGTCAAACTCAAAATGATAAATACACCCGAGTGGCAAATAGTAAAAAAAACATCATAATAGTCGTCCATATGATATGACTCATGCATTCAAAGTCTTCTGAAGTCATGTGATGCTTTGTGTGAGGAAGAGACTGATATTAAACCAGTTTATCGCTGAAAACATCTGTCTTTGCTGAAGCTTTCAGATCTCACACTCAAACCTGTGCATCATGTTTCACATGATATCAGCAAGTGCAAACATCTGCTTTTGTGTTCCACAGAAGGAAGTCAGTCACGGAGTGAGTGCGTGTTGACAGAATGTTCACTGTTGTCTGAACTCTTGCTTTAAGAGCTGAAGAGCTGTGTGTGAGTGGTTCTGTTCTGACGTGTCTGTGTCGTTAGCAGCGCTGAGAAGCCTGGAGCGCTGCACGCCGAACTGGACTCGCTTCAGGCGCTGCGCCAACAGCTGGTAGAAACCCTGACGAGGGCCCGCGAGACGGCGCTGGTGCTGGATCGGGCCGCGCTGATCCAGACCGACTATGGAGGTGGGACACGGCAGAGGCGCTAACTCTGAATGAACCGCTAGCTCATCGCTGAAATGCTCGTGCGCTAGTCGAGCATGATGACACATAACCAGCCAGAACTCGTGTGTGTGTGTTTTATCCATTTATCCAGATGATGTTTGTGTGTGTTGATGTTCTGTATACTGTCTGCCTCATTCATGAATTTGAGTTCCAGAAACGCCTTTATGTTCCATTTGAATTACACAGCCACATTTTCTGAGACCAAACGCATCAGATCAAATGTAGAAGCAGACTGTTCTTTGACTTGTGCGACGCCGCATGCACTGCATGTCAGAGCAGCAGGAGCTTGGCTTTGTGACTTTAAGCACTTCAAGCCCATTTTCTGTGACTCAAACTGTACGGGCTGATATTCTAGTGCCAAATGAAGCTGATTTTGATGCATCATTTAGCTTGGTTCTTGTTTATGGAAATATGAAATCTATTTAATCTACTTCAAACTGAAAAGAAATAAATGTAACCAGATTTCTTGGCCGGAATCTTTTGTATTTTAGTCTTTTACATTTACATTTACATTTAGTCATTTAGCAGACGCTTTTATCCAAAGCGACTTACAAATGAGGACAATAAAAGCAGTCAAAACTAACAAAAGAGAGTGTTTGTTTGTTTGTTTGTTTTTTTAATAAAAATTTAAAAATTAAAAGAAGATAAATATAGATAAAGTAGAATTAAAATAGAATAAGAAAGTGCTAGAGTTAGAGGGTCAAATAAAGGTGGAACAGGTGTGTTTTTAGTCGTTTCTTGAAGATGGTTAAGGACTCAGCTGCTCGGATTGATTTGGGCAGGTCATTCCACCAGGAGGGAACAGTTAATGAAAAAGTCTGTGAAAGTGATTTTGTGCCTCTTTTAGATGGCACAATAATACGCCGTTCACTAGCAGAACGTAAGCTTCTAGAGGGCACATAACTCTGAAGTAATGAATTTAGGTAAATGGGTGCAGAGCCAGTGGTGGTTTTGTAGGCAAACATTAATGCCTTGAATTTAATGCGAGCAGCTACTGGTAGCCAGTGCAAATTGATGAACAGAGGTGTGACATGCGTTATTTTCGGCTCATTAGAGATTAATTTTGCAGCGGCATTTTGGATTAATTGTAGAGGTTTGATAGAAGTGGCTGGAAGACCTGCCAAGAGAGCATTGCAATAGTCCAGCCTGGACAGAACAAGAGCTTGAACAAGGTGTTGTGTTGCATGTTCTGAAAGAAAGGGCCTGATCTTTCTAATGTTGTATAAAGCAAATCTGCAGGACCGGGCAGTTTTAGCAATGTGGTCTGAGAAATTCAGCTTATCATCAATCACAACTCCAAGGTTTCTAGCTGTTTTTGAAGGAGTTATGGTTGATGAGCCTAACTGGATGGTGAAATTTTGATAAAGTGATGGGTTTGTTGAAACCAAAAGCAGTTCTGTCTTGGCCAGGATGAGTTGAAGGTGATGGTCCGTCATCCAGCAAAAAATGTCTCTTACACAAGCTGAGATGTGAGCAGCTATCGTCGGATCATCAGGATGGAATGAGAGGTAGAGTTGAGTGTCATCAGCATAGCAGTGATATGAAAAGCCATGTTTCTGAATGACAGAACCTAGTGATGCCATGTAGACAGAGAAGAGAAGTGGTCCAAGTACTGAGCCCTGAGGCACCCCAGTAGCTGGATGTTGCGACTTGGCCACCTCACCTCTCCAACCTCTTTTTGTTCATTATCTGTTTTGAACAGTAAGAAATCATTTTGAAGTAGGATAGGCGATTCCTCCAGGACGCTCACTTTCCTCAGATTATTAGAACATAAACTAAAACGAATATTTATTTGATATGTAAACATCACAGGTGAGTATGTGAGCTGGAGTTTTCCACAGAAAAACCTCTTCGTAGTGTTCATTGTCATTTAATTTCCACTAATATTGAAATTTTATTTTAACCATTGAACAGTCTGATGATAATTAACCAAACAAACTCATTCACACGTGCATGTAAAGGCATCATATGTCTGCATGGCTGTGACTTTGTGTGGTTTGATGACAATATGCAGATTTAAACCATCAGCTAAATTAGAAAATGAAACATCTCATGAAACACCAAAGAAACCAGATCTGCTGTTAAACTGGTCCTGATCAATAAGCTGCAGGACACACACTGTAAATCACAGCTCCTCACGGCTCACACACACTCTTTCATGAAATCCTCCGACGGTGTAATCATCATCCTCACGCCTCACACTACACTCTGATCACGCCAGATTTCTTTGGACTCCATGAGGGACAGGATATAATGTTACACTTCTGCTTTTAATAAATAATCAGTCACAAGTAATAATATAATGTGGACACTGTCCTCCATGTTTCTGCAACATTTCATACCCTCAGCTTTTGCAAATTGAAACTCAAAGTTTGTCTTTGAATCGAGTCTAAAGCTTGATCTGACATGTAGACTGTTTCGGCTGAGCATCTTTGAGTCATGAATCTGCAGGTCAGAGTTCACCGTATGTTTGCTTCCTGTTTTTTGTTGTAATGGTGGCCATTGATGTGGACTCTAACAGAGGCTTTGTGAACCTGTGACGTCTTAAATTAGCCAAGCAGAAGTGACTTTATTACACCGTCTTTGGCTCCTTGTACTGTTATTAATATAAAACACTTCATCTATATTTATCTGTCCTGCATGATACTGTACAAATATTCCTTTCATACAGTTAATCACATTATCAGCTTTATACACATCTGAAAGGCAATGTTTCGTAGACTCCATATGACTCCAATACTCCTTCATTACGAGTGTTACTGAAGGTGGAATAAACCGCAGTAAATCACAGTTTGATCTCTAGTGTCACAACATTCACAAACAAACTGAAGCAGCAGATTCCAGCGAAATGGGTTAGTCAGAGTTTCATGATCTAGCAGTACTACAGTAATCTTTCCTTCTTTCGCTCTCTCTCTCTGATACTGTAGTTTCTGGACTTTTATGTAAACTCAGGTTATATAACCAGAATAAGAGAGCAGAATGTGACTTTAAAGGGACAGTCCACCCAGAAAAGATTATTCTTTTATTTACTCACCCTTTATGTCATTTTAAATCTTTATGACTGATTTGTTTCTGTGGAACAAAAGAAGATACTTAAGAGAAATTATGGGGTACAAATAACATTAAATCCCATTGATCTTTATGGTATGGAGAGAAAAATATGTGACCAATATGTTCTTTTGTGTTCCTCTAACGAAAGTCATACTGGCTTGCAACAACAGAGTGAGTAAATGATGACAGGATGTCTGTTTTTGTGTGAACTCTCCCTTTAACATTCACTGTGGGAGTGGTGATGAAGGAAGGAAGGAAAAGCAGCTGGACTGACAGACGTTGAACAGACTGGCTGTGATTCGGCTCTGGAAACAGACAATCAGAGACAACAGAGAAACAGACAGAAATATAAGAAAGAGATGTAAGAAGAGGAGTCTTAGTGTCTCTCTTGTTTCTTTCTAGAATCCAGCAGTGATGAAGATGAAGATGATTGTGACAGCAGCAGCAGTGAGGAGTTCCCAGACAGCATAGAGGACGATGAGATCAAACTGACGGCTCAGAGTCTGACGAGCGCGCAGGTAAGAAGAAGAACAAACACTGTAATTCAGAGTGTTTTCTGTCACCGTCTCCTGAAGCTCAGGGTTTGAACTGGAGTTGCTCATCTGTGGTTCAGACCTTTCCATTACTGGACCAGATGAAGGCCACAACTCCTTCAGATTATAGGAGTTACTTTAAAGATGCAGCTGCAACAAAATACTTTTTGTTTTATGGTTTTAATTTCACGTCTGTAGCTTGAAGCTCCTTCATCTCCAATACTAGCATACTTGTAAAAGACAATGTCTTTAACTCATATACAGGTGCATCTCAATAAATTAGAATGTCATGGAAAAGTTCATTTATTTCAGTAATTCAACTCAAATTGTGAAACTCGTGTATTAAATAAATTCAA